AAACAAAAGCAAGCAAATCGAGGTGGCGTAAATGGCTCTGGGAGTTCAAAGTAGGAGCCCATGGTAGAGAACTGGAACACAGGGAAAGAGGAGGGGAGCAGGCTGCTGGAGGGAGAAGGGGGAAAGGAGAAAGGGCGTGACCATTGGGAACTCAGGGTTCCTTGTACAGGTAGAAACAGCAGCTGGATCTTTGGAATGTAGGATGTTTTCTGGATGCACTGGGTGTTTACCTGGCTACCTAAAGACACTAGCCAGAGGCTAAATGACCATAATCTTAAATACCCAGAATATGGGGGTAGGGAGAGCAGAAGAAAAGTATTTTAAACATTTCAACTAAGACCGATAAGGGGCCGGGGATTTAGCTCAGTGGTTCAGCCACCTGCCACACAAGTGCAAGGACCCAAGTTCAATCCCCAGTACCAAAATAAAATAATAACATAAATAAACTAAGACTGTTTATAGGGACACTGTTGCCCCTGTGCTTTGTCATTTGGGGCCACATATCAGTTCTGGCTCTGCTGTAAGCTTGGCTGTCTGAACCAACTAGAAGTGGTGGCTTTGCTATTACATTGGCTTAGGGGAAAGCTAAGACTCCAGAGTTCAGGCTTCCTAAGCGACAGCAAGACCTTCTGAGGTAAAATTGTAAAAACTAAAAGTGCTGTTTTTTTTTTTCAAAAAAGTAAAACAAGTCAAAGGTAAGAAGCTGTAGGAAACAGACTCACTCATAACACAAGGGATAACAAGAGCCCTGAAAAGAAATAGTCTCAAACTTTCCCAGGACAAAACATAAGGTGCAGAGGCAGTTGCTAATTTGTTGTGTATCTACATAAAAAAGGCACAGCAAACTTGTAAAGTAGTTGTTATGGTCTATGAAGGGGAAACAGGTCTAGAAAGTTGAAAATGCCAACAAAAATTCAAATCTAAATTGGTTGGATCAAAATATGACATTGCACCAGTGTCACAAAAAATGAAGTTTAGAATCAGAAGCCCAAATCAATAGCTGAATTCCCTTAAATGTCATTTTGTTTAAGAAGACACAGAAATGTGGCACGTGACTTAAGTTGTTATCATTTACCCTTTACAAAAGCACTTTAAAGGGGTCTGTTTTAAAATCTGGAAATTTCACCTGGAAGAGATCCATTCTTTTATGATATACGGTAAATATAATACTTTGGCACTGCACATCACATATCAAATCATGGTAGTGTACTTTCTGAGGTCTTTAGCCTAAGAACTCCTTTTCCAAGTTTTCCTAGAGGCTCTTGGGCTTTCTGAAAATGTTTTCCAAGATAGCCATTTGGAAATGGCCTTTTCTTAAAAGGACTCAGCCTTAGCCGGGCATGGTGGCTCACGCCTGTAATCCCAGCACTCGGAAGGCTGAGGCAGGAGGATCGCTGTGAGTTCAAGACCAGCCTGGGCTACATAGTGAGTTCCAGGTCATTCTCAATTACATAGTGAGACCCTGTCTCAAAAAACAAACAAACAAACAAACGAAAAAGGACCCAGCCTTATGAGGTGGGTTTTAATGGGTTGGACCTCTGGGATGAGGGCCTGCTGTGCTTCTTTGAGGATTCATGGATAAACTGTGTATGACACACTGGAGAATGTTTAGAAAATACATATATTCTAAATTTTAGAAATGGAAAAAATGCTCAGCTTTGTATGTGTGTTTCTAAAACCATAACACTCAGCCCGTTGGCTGATGACTCAAGCAAAAGGCTTCCGTCTGCCAAAGCAGCAGCCTCTTAACCTCCTCTGCTCTCCAGGGGATGGAGTGGCTTCTTTCTGTTTGCAGACATAGCCCCAAGCCTGCCCTTCTGCCTTGAGTGCAGGAACCTGGGACTACCACGGAGGCCTCTGGCTTCTGCCCATAGCTGCTGCCCAGGCTCCAGGACAGCCTGTGGGTGCTCAAGCCCAAGGAGGAAGGGATCAGAGGAACTCACAAGGGATGGTAGCCTTGGATTGCACTGACTCAGGCAAGGCCAAGACTTGTGAGTGAAATTTTCCAAACAGACGGCAGGCTTCAGTGGAACAAAGTGAACAACTGGCGGTTAGGGGAAAGGTCTGTCTGGGGTTTACTCAGCAACTACCTTGGGCTTTGGATTTCAAGGACAGAGAGCTAAAGGGGCCACAGACAAGGGTAATCCTTTCATATCAGGGGCTGTTCCTAGGTCAGGGCAATTTTTGCAATGAATCCTGAACATAGAAAGGAAGAGAAAAACAGAAAGGCAGGTTGCCATTCCCTTTAGGTGGGGGTGGCTTTTTTCCCCCGACTTTCTTGCTCATTTCCTCTTTTTGATAGGGAGCTGCTGCTGCCAGCTGTCAGTAGAAGGACAGTGGAGGCAGTTTCTATAGGGAAGTGTTTAACTTATGGGCTTAGAGAGCCAATTTCAATTTGGAGCTGGTCTCCTGTAATAGTGCTTTGCAAATGTAGGAGCTCCTTTGGAACAAAAATGGAGAGAGAGAAGGAAGGAGCAAGCACCAGACATGACTTTCAGGACTTGAATTAGATTAAGTGTTCCTTTCACAGTGGAGTAAAAAAAAAAAGGCAGGGAGACGAGGGAAGCCCCTCTTGTGTATTCTTAATGCAGATGACCAGAGAAAATGTCCAAAATACCTTGAAGAGGGAGACGCTGAGAGACCCAGATGTATCTTTCTAAACATAGAAATTAATGACAATGGGGTAGAGTGGAGAAAAGTGGGTGGGGAGAATGGAGCACAAGGCTCAGTAGATGAGATTTAACCCAGTGGGATCTTTCTGACAATCTGTCTTTGGGGAAACAGACTCCAGAGAGACATTTTCTTGACCTTCCTGACCTTTCAGGTTGAAGCCAGAAGCACGTAGTGGGCAGCAGAGAGAAAACAGGAAACTACTCAGCGAGGTGGGTGAGCCAGGGCTTATCCTGGAACGAGCCTACTTCCTCAACTGCAGCGGCAGCCAGGGACAAGGTCCATCTTGCTGTGGACCAAGGCTGAGTCCCTGTGCAGGGAAGGGGCTGCTGCAGCTCAGAGTAAAGCAAGGGCATGCTTTTCTAACCTTTTCACACTTCCTAGCATGTCTGAAGCCTTGCTCACTAACACCAAGCTTTTCCTTCCAAAAAGCTGTAGCTTTTCCCTCTGCCACGAGACACTCACAGAAAACGGCCTCTTAGCAATTTTCCTCACAAGATCTGCTGTCATCAGCAGAACAGAATTTGGCCCTCAGTGGGGAGAGGTGCTTAGCTGACTTTCTCTGAGCTCAGGCCCAAGCTCCCTATGCATTATGCTTCAATGTGTACCAACCTGCTACCGCTCAGCCAGAGGCACCAGGGCCCCACATGCCTTCTAAAGAAGCCCTCTCCTAACTGAAATTCTTAGTAAAGGTCACTGCTAGGGAAGTAGCAGACTTACATGCTGAGTCAATGTGTCCAGAATGTGCATGTAATGGAGACAAAGAGGAACCAATCCGCTTAGTCAGGAGTGGCCCAGCGATAAGAACTCCATCTAACGACGCTTGGTTACATGTGGCATCCATCCGGGATGCCTTCTGGGTTTCAGCAAAGACTACCTCTCATTAGGAGGAGGCCACTGTGTAGGTGTAAAGGAGTCCCTGGAGGGTAATAACGGCATCGATTCACTGAGCCTCCAGGCTGGCCAAGTGCTAGTTGAAGAGGGGCCTTGTTTCCTCCTGGAGGAGGCACTGGCTGGGACCCACACCTGCTCGAAATGAAGGCCAACAGTCTTGCTTGCTCCTCTATACCTGTCCCACCAGCTGACCCCTTGACCCCTTTATTCATTTTCCAGGACACACAGTGCCTTTGGTGACAGAGTTTACTACTCAGGTGGGGCACTGAACACTTAGCAGAGTACTTGTGGCACACTGGGTGCTGATCTGGAGCAGAATGCATTGTTGGGATACTCTTTTCTGCAAAGAGAATTTTCATTTTGGGGAGAGATGGAACCCAGAGTCTTTGTGCTGAGCTACATCCTCAGCCCTTTGAATTTTTAATTGTGTGAAAAGCTTTCACTAATTTGCTAAGTTGTCCAGGTTGGAATATAACTTTTGAATCCCTGCCTCAACATATCAGAGGGCTGGAAATACCGGCACACAACACCATGCCCAGTTCAACCTCCACCTTTGTACAGTGAGGAAAGAATTTGAGAGCTCATTAGAGTACACACACATACACACACACTTGCATTCTTGCTATTACAGCGTTGCCTGCTTATATACAGGGACCTCAGTGTTAACATGGCATTTCTAAAGCATTTAAATGTTTACTTAGCATCTCCTAAGCCACACGTTTCCAAGGTGACAGGGCTGGTGACATGTAAGATCAGCTGAGTCATCTTGGGTGACTGGCTTAACCTCTCTGTGTTGCAGTGTTCTCGTTTGCAAAATGGAGATCATGGTGGCACCAACTTCCTGGGACCTTTCATTGTGAGACTGAATAGATTAATATTTGTAACGCAATTTAAAAAGCATTTGTTAAAGAAATCCATATCATCAGATCAGAGACTCTTACCTACGCAGCACAGACGTCAAGAATCAATGAGTCTTAGACCTACCCTCACAGATTTCTGAGCTCTCTTTTTCTATAATAAGGCAACCAGCGGCCACTTCAAAACAGAGTGGGCGGACCCTCTGTGACCCTCCTAGATGGAGAGGGCGGAAGCTTTCACTTGGACAAGGGCTACCATTTTATTGAGGAGGCAGTTGGGTCCCTCTGTGGGGCAGCAGTGGAAGTGGGCCATCTCCGAGGGGAAAGTAAATCCCAGCATCAAGAGGGATGTGCGGTTCAGTGTTCAGCCCTGCCCACCCAGAAATCCTCCCTGTTTCCAGAGCCTGGGTGCTATTCTTTACCCTTGACTCCAGCAGGCCCCATCCTCCATACTTTCCAGAAGGAGGGCTGAGATCCACTGTTGCCACTGGGTGACAGGAGGGACAGAAGAGGTGAGGTGGGCTGGGGCGCAGGAGCCCCCCACGGCGCAACACAGTTTAGCAACGTAGTCACGCTTACTTGCAGTCGTGCTTCTCAATTTCAAAGTGAGGGTTGAAGTTGAGGACAATCTTCTGGTTGGGCTCAGGGGCGTAAACAATCCACTCACAGTTCTGGTGGGAGGGGTAATCCTGGGGGTAACCAGGAGAGGTGATATAGCCAGCATCTTTGGAATTCAAACGACCTCCGCAGGGTGAGTCTAGAAGAGAAAGCAGCAACCCGAAGAACTTCAAAAATGTTACAGTCTTTGCTCCATACACCCCCACCACCCCACCAGCAACCCGAAGAACTTCAAAAATGTTACAAGTCTTTCCTCCATCCCCCCCCCCGCTTCTCTTAGTGGCTGATCAAAACTATTTTACAGACCTTTTATGGCAGTCCGCGAGACTAACCTACTTACTCATTTGGTGGAAGAGATTATTTCAGCTCGTCCCTCCCCCTACCCACCGCACCGCCCCCCAGTATTCCCACAAAACTGTCATAAATATTCCAAGTCACATGGTCTGAGATTATAAAAACAAGAAAGCTGTACACTTGACATGCCTCCCTGCCTTTTCCTGTCTCTCCTTCTTGGCCTGTCTTCCTCTCCTCCTTCAAACCTCCCCTCACTATCTTTACCTCATCAATCCTTCTTTTTATTCAGTGTCTCCCAGCCCAGCCCAGGCAGCCGGCAGTTCAGGCTCCAGGAACTGACAATCGTGGTTTTGTGGTGCAGACCCACAAGTGAGCCTGGTAACAATTACATGTGCTGCAAGGAAGCACTTTCAGCATTGGGCCAGAATAGACCCTGGGGGGTGATTTCAGTCTTTTTTTTTTCCCCCTCTCTTTTTAAGAAAGAAAAAGCAAAGTCCCCAAACATTTAATTCCGCATACACTGCAAATTTGATTTATTATTTCATTATACACCAAGTGGAAAAATCTGCATTGCAGAAGCCACTGGCTCCAACCTCAGAATTTCGACAAAGGTGCTTTGTGTTGAAGGGACACCTATGTTATTTCTGCACTCTTTGCACAACTGTCCCCCCTGCCTGGTCAACACCACCAGAATGTGCTGCTGCTTTGTCCAGCCACATCAGCTGCAGGAAAAGCGGTGGCAGGCAGGAGCTGGCTCCCCCTCCCCACAGAGCCTGGCTGGAGGTAAACAGCCTCATGTGGGCCAGAAGGGAAGGGGGCGACCTTCAAAGGCAGAAAAGGTGGGAGATGACATTTGAAAAATTTCATCTACTTGAGAGTGAAGTTCTGCGATCCCTAGCAGGGGTTCTTGGGAAATGGGGGTTTTGCTTAATACCACAATTAGAACAGAGAGGCACAAGAGACATAGAAATATCCAGAAGCCTCTTGGAGGCCTTCCTGAGATGTGTGCGTCTCTTAGCATCAATCACGATTTAATATTGCCATCTGCATGGAGCAGCATGGGCCCCTGAATTATGTATGACAGCTCAGCAGCCACCCTCCAGGACAGGGTCTTTCTCCTGTGTTCCCTCTTTGAGGGAACGGGTCATGCATTTTTAACTCTACAGGTGCACTTTTCCATTCCCTGTGTCTGTTGGCATTACTGTCTTCCAGACCTCTGCTTCAGATTTCCAGCCTGACAGGCTTTAAATACATAAATGATGGGCATGCTGCACAATGGTGGTCGGGACACAAGTACCCTTTTCAGCACTGAGCTTCCAAGAGTTCAAACTGGGAGGTGCTGAACTGCCCAGAATCTAATGGATTCTGGTCTGTTTCTTACTGGGTGGAGAACAAAAGCAAGCCATTTCCTGAGGCCAGAAGACACCACATCATCCTCTACCTAATGACCCTGCACCCTCCCCAGTCCAGGAGGACAATGGCCCATCCCTCCCACCCAGGGGCAGCCAACGCCTGCAGGCCTTCCCAGTGCCCACAGTATCCACCTACGCTGGGCACCCAATATCTTCCAGCTGGTCACATGGTGGATCATTGGCCCACGTGAAACTGGGAGGCTGGGAGTAGCCTTCTGAGAAAGCAGAAGTGTGGGCACTTAAATCATCAGCTGTTTTTACCAAACCAACAGCAGAAGCAATTTTCTACAGGGTCCAGGTCCTCTGCCAGCTATTTTTCAGAAAACTGCATCCCTGCCACAGACCCACCCTGAACCACACTTTTTGCCTTGGAACTCATCAGAGGAAATCTGAGCTGAGCTCCTGTTCAGTAACCCTTATGGTTTCCATATCATCCACACTCTCCCTCTTTTCCCAGCCTCTTCCCTGCTTCTCTCTGATTACTCTTAAAAGAAGAATTTCTCTCCCTCAATTCCCTGGACCCTAGGCTAGGCTTGAGCTTTCAGTAATTAGACCAGGCACACAGATTAGCAATGAAGACAGGAAACTTCCTCAGAGGAAAGAGTCATTTGTCATTTATACTAGGAGCAATCATTTTCCTACTACCAAAATATTTTTTTAATTGTATAGTATATCCATACTATAGGAGGCAATTTCTGTTGTGAAAAATTAATTTAACCTAAAGAAAAAGGAGAGGCCCATTTCTTTTTTCTTGTTACTTATCTGAGAAAAAATCAAAGCCCTCATTGAAATATCTGCAAACTCATTAAAACATCTACTTTGGTTGTGTGGTTAACTTTTTGAATACCCAAACATTTATAAACTCACATTCTTGTTTGCATTGGATTCACACTCAGAAACACACACAAGTATAGATGTTGAACATACATCAATTACATACACATATCAGTAATTCACACATTAGTCCTGTACACAGATTCACGCCCTCTCATAAAATATCACACATCATTTGCACAGACACATAACCACAAAGATAAATATTAGAATTTCTATCTCTATTTTTCTTGGGGAGAACAGAATTCTTGAAAGGCATTAGTAAAAGAAAATACATTTAGTCCCTTCAATATTTCCTCTTTGATAACTGATCTTTCATTTTTAGGGTTGGGGGTTTCTTCATTTCTACATGAAAACATGCTCCAATAGAAATTAGCTAAAATTTCTCCTTAAGAGCTGTATCATCCAATGCTTCGTAGGCCTTTACTGTATCTCAAAACAAACTTCATAAATGTTTTCTGTCCTGTTTCAGAGGAGTCTAGCCAGGCCAAAGGAGAGTTGAACTCAAGGGCAAACCCCTTAAGGCCAATCTTCTTATAGAGAGGAAATTGACCCTGTTAAGTGAAGCTACCGAGCCTGTTTGGTGAGTTGACAAGGGATTTCATTCTCCAAGGATTTTGTGAATACCTTTCACCTGGGGCAATTCAGTTCCCAAAGAGAACCCAGGCCTAGAAGTTCAGAGCCATTTCCTCCTCCAGTTGAGAGCGGAGCCCTAGGGATGATGCAGGTCATGTCAGAGGACCAAAGGAGCAAGAGCCCCTGGAATACCTCTAGGTGTAATTTTGAGGAAATAAAACACTGCCTGCTAAAGTCACGATGTTTTGATTTCCCCCATAGTGACTACTTAGGTGTTTTGATTTGAAATATAAAATATCAAATTATTTAAAAATCTTTAACTCTGTCTTGTTTTCCCCCTCAAAGGTATCCTTCCTTGCTTTGATGCTATCCAGGCAACACCTGATGCTGCCCTAGGTAGTTTGGCCCTAGAAAGGGAAAGGAAAGGCACTTTGTGACTATTCACTTAGGAACTCACTTACCTCCGAGAGAACCCTCTTTAAAGTAGATTTCTGCTTCCTTGGTAACATTTGATTTTTAGGAATTACTAAGAAGTAAAAGAAGAGCTCTTAAGTATCTGGTCTGCCTTCTAGGAAAATTTAATTGGAGTTGTTTTAAAGGATCATCTGGCCTGAAATTGACAAAATTTGCTAAACTGCAGCCTGACTGTAGTGAGGACTTTAAAATGATCAAAATTACAGTGGTCACTTCTCAAGAGCTGTGTGACAACAGGTAAAGAACAATCAGATCCCTCAGTGTGGCTGAACTGAAGGCCAAACCAGGGAACTAGAGTGAGGGTGTGGTCCAAAGTGATTGTGTAGTGGTTGAAGGGACCGGCTACCCGGAACAGGAAGCCTGACTTTGGCAAAAAGAGAGCGGGAGGACACCTGTTCTTAGCTTCACACGCTGTAATTTGATGAGTGGATCCCGTTAAGTTGTCAATTCTTTCTCTTCTTAGAAGTCGTATCTTTTTCCCTCCTTGATCAAAACTCTACCCCCAACTCCAATGTACAATGAAGATGGCAGTGGAGCACCTCCTGGCTGTTGGGAGGGAGAGAGCCAGAAGTCATGCAGAACCCAGGCCGCAGTGTGTCTCCCCGTCTCCTAGGGTCTTCTCCAACCAGTGCTGAGGACCTTCTGGAACTTGGTTTGAAGCCCACTGCGCTAGAGCTCAGTTCTCTTGTTTCTTTAACATGCCAAGAGGAAGAGAGCTAGTGGAAGGATTAGGAGACATTTATTTCTTATATGGGGTAATCACCCTTCTCTGATTTCAGTTAATTGCGGTCAGTCTGCATAGGCATGGCATCCTCCTCCTGTCACATCCCTGGGAGTCAACAGTAGCCTAAAGCTGTAGCAATCACTCTCATCACACAGGCGCTGTATCACTTTATATCATCACAAGAAGGGAGAATTGAGCAGCAAGACATTTTGAGAATGAGACCATATTCGAATAACTTGAGGGAGTGTCACCAGCCACTTTGGTTCCTAAGTTTAGAGGTACTGCCCATCTGGGGGTATTTGGTAGAGAAGTCTTATTTCTTCTGAAGATAATGTATTTTATTTATAATTTATTCTTTATCCACAGCATAATCCTATCCTGTCTTATTTTAACTGCTGTTTTCCTTTCATTATTAGTAGAAAGGCAAAAAAAGAACTCGTCTCTTTATTTAAAGAGAGAGGAATGCTGGTGTTATACACAGGTACCACTACCCACAGTGAATGTACTCATGATGAATAATAAACATATACTAATAAAATTAAATTAAATTAAATTTAAAAAAATAAAAGACATGGGTTGCCACACCATGTCACTCATTGCTCCAGAGGAATTGACTGGAAATAGCACTGGGTAAGAGTCAAGAAGTCCTGGAATCAAGTCTAATCTCAGAGCAGGTAAATGTGGTGCCCTTGGGTAAATTAGTAAAGCACTCTGAGCAGCCCCCTCCCACCTTGCTCATTTATAAAATGGGAGGAGTGATCCAAAAGACCAATTCCAGTTCTGAAATTCAAATAAGGCAGGGAAAAGCTCCAATATCCCATAGAT